GCCTGGGCTGGGAGCACTGTGCCAGAGGGCCATGCAGCGGTCACCCCACGGGTGCTGACTCTTGGGTGCGTTGCAGGTGTGAGATCGGACTGCATAGCAGTGGACTGGCTTGGAAGGAACCTGTACTGGACAGATGGGGCAGCTGGGCAGGTGCTGGCCACTCGCCTGGGGGCTGCCTGGCGAGGGATACCGGAGTACACTGTGGTGATGGATGGAGACCTGGACCGGCCCCACTCGCTGGTGCTCCGGCCTCTGGCAGGGTAAGGCTGGGACAAGGGGACATGGGGACCTCCTTGCCATCCCTGCTCTGCCCCATTTTCCTCCATGGAGGCAGGCGACAGGCTGGGGAAGAGTTGGGAGGGCTCTCCTGGGTGCCGTCGGGGCTATGCGACTGGGGAAGAAGGAGCCCAGACACCCACCCCTGCCCCGGGGTGGAGCTCTCAGCGCGTCCCTGATGGGATGTGAAGCTTTGTGCTGCTCCTCTGGGCTACCCTGGTACTGGGACGATGCTGTGGCAGGTCCGTGGGCCAGCACCTCTCTTCCCACCAGGCTGCTGTACTGGTCAGAGGTGGGGAGCCACCCACGGCTGATGAAGGCCACCATGGATGGGAGTCGGCGGCACGTGCTGCTGGACCAGGGGCTGGGCTGGCTCACAGCACTGGCCCTCGACCTCCCCGCCTGGAGGATCTTCTGGCTGGATGAGAAGCTGGGCAGCATCGGTTCTGCACGTCTGGATGGCACCAGTGTGAAGGTGTGCGGCGGGGCTCTGGTGACGGGGCCCTGGCGGGGGGCCAGGGTGGGCGCTCACGGCTTCTCTGCCAGGTCCTGCAGCTGGGCTGGGTCCGGAGCCCCTTCGCGGCGGCTGTGTGCGAGGGGCAGCTCTACTGGTCGGAGAGGAAGGCATGGTCCGTGCAGCAAGTGGACAAGGCCAGCGGCAAGAACAGGACCGTGCTGCTCAAGCGACACGGGCAGCCTCATGGCCTCCAGGTACCTACCTGGGGGGAGCCCCAGACCCCGCTGTGCCAGCTCTGCTGGGGCTCCCACCCCGCACGGCCCTCAGCGCGGGGTCGCTGGGAGCTGTGCCTCCATCCCGGTGGTCCTTGGGCAGCAGTCCCTGTGGTCAAGGGTCTCTGGTCCTCTTGGAGCACCTCTGCCTCACCGTCCTGCCCGCAGCTGGGCCGTGTCCGGGCTTCGGGAGCACGGCGTGGTGTCGGCCTCGCTCAGCTCCGCCTGCTGGGTGCTGGCGGGGCCGTGAGGCTGAGCCTGCCCTTCCCACAGGTGATGCACCCAGCCCTGCGCCCCGCGGCCCTGAACCCGTGCGCGGCGCGTGGCTGCTCCCACCTCTGCCTGCTGAGCGCCCGGCACGCCGGGCAGTGCCGGTGCCCCGCCGGGATGACGCTGGCCGCCGATGAGACCACCTGCCTGCCCCTCCGCGACTCAACCTTTGCCCTCCTGGTGTCACCGGCAGCTGTGGTGCAGGTACCACCCTCCGGAGCTGGCCCTGGGGGCTGCTGGCCTCGTCGCCGTCAGGGGCACGGGGTCCCCGTCCTAGTGCTGCCTCCTTCCTCCAGGTCTACCTGAAGGACCTGCCCGCAACAGCTGGATCCCAAGGGCTTCCCCCGCACCGGGCTCTGCCCTTGGCCAAGGTGGGCCGCCTGACAGCCGTTGACTACACAGTGAGAGACAAGAGCCTGTACTTCGCGGAGGTGGGGGGCGACTCCATTGGGCTTCTGCGCCTGAAGGACTGGGGCCGGCTGTCCTGGAAGCAGGCGGTGGCTGTGGAGGGCACAGTGACATCCCTGGCCCTGGACTGGCTGAGCGGGAACCTGTACTGGATCGGGGGGCAGCCGCCCAGCATCCGCGTGGCCGCTCCGGGGGGGCAGTGGGCCCTGGCGCTGCTCAGCGAGGGGCTGCAGGGCGCTGCCTGGCTGGCGCTGTGCCCTCCCGCCTCCACCATCTGCTTCGTCACCGCGGCCGGCAGCCGCGGGCCCGGCGCTGCGGTGGAGTGCGCGGCCATGGACGGCACCGGCCGCAGAGCGGTCTGGAGGAGAGCCCGGGCTCCCACCGGCCTCACCTTCGGGGGTGCTGGCACCCGGCTGTACTGGGCAGACCGCGGTGAGTGCGGGCTGAGCCGGGGCGCTGCCGGGGGGCAGCGTGGTGTGCAGGCGCTCGATCCGCAGGGCACAGCCCGGCACGAGCCCTGGGGGGCAGCCCGGAGCCCTCTGTGCCCCCTCATCTGACATCCCTGCGTCTGCGCCCTGCAGAGAGAGGCACCATCAGCAGCGTGGAGCTGGACGGAACCCGCTTCCAGGTGGTGCGGGAAGGGCTGCACGGCCTCTCGCTTTTCGCCATCGGAGAAGGCTTTCTGCTCTGGAGCACGACATCAACCAACGGTGAGCCCCGTTGGCCGTGCTTTGTCCGGCTCCTCCTGCTGCACCGGGTACACAGGGGTCTCTGCCGGTCCCTGTGGGGCACAGGCTGCCCCTCCCCATGGCAAAGGGCAGGCTGGGGGACTCCACCTCCCATCCTGGGCACCCTTGCGTGAAGAGGTGGAGGAGCAGTGCTGACCCCATGTGTCTCCAGGCTCCAGCAAGATCTGGCACAGCCGGCTGGAGCGGGCTGAGAGCTGGTGGTTCCCGATGGAGCAGGAGTTGGTAGCCATGAGGATTTACAGCCAGTTCTCCCAGGAAGGTGGGTCTGGGGCTGCCTCAGCCTGGGGCACCTGTGGGGCTGAGCCACGCTCCGTGGTGGCCGTGCTAACCCGTGCTCTTTTGGCAGGCACCAATGGCTGCGCGAAGAACAACGGGGGCTGTGCCCAGCTCTGCCTGCCCAACCCCGCAGGGCGGCTGTGCCGCTGCTCCCCCGGCTACCAGCTGGTGCGTGGGGTGGCATGCACCCCGGCACTGCCCTGCCCGGCCCCGCTCCAGGCCTGCCCTGACCTCCAGAGCTGCATCTCTGCAGAGCAGGTCTGTGATGGGCACCCTGACTGCATCGACGGCTCGGATGAATCTGACTGTGAGTGCCTGCCCACAGCCAGGGTGTGCAGGGGTCCTGGCTGGGCACATGGGGAGCCTGCCCAGTCTTCTCCAGTTTGAGGAGAGGGTGGGGGGGGTCTCGCCTGGATCTCTGCTGATCTATGCCCATCCCTCCAGGCCCCTCTGTGGAGGTGGGGACGCAGGTCCCCACGGTGGCACCATCAGGAACGTCCCATGTGGAAGAACAGAAACCAGCCTTACCTACAGCTGCAGCCCCTGGCCCCCGGGAGCAGGGAGAGCCCTTCCCGGTATCCCCCAGCACCGAGGAGGTGCTGGGGGCCGTGCCGTGCAGCAGCGAGACGTGTAACCTGCGCGGGGACTGCGCCATCGAGGCCGGGCGAGTGACCTGCCACTGCGCCCTGGGCTATCGTGGCGACTACTGCGAGGAGGCAGAGGTGCAGCCCGTTGCAGGACCTATCGCCCTGGGGGTGGCCGTGCTCCTGCTGCTCGCTGCCGCTGCCGTGGGGGCCCTGGCCTACATGCGGAGGCGGGACAGGCGGAGGAGGTGAGCTCTGGGGCCGGGATGGGCCAGGTACAACTGGGGACGGAGAGGGGCAGGGTCTCCCTGCCCAAGGACGGGGTGGTGTCCTGGGGCACTCCTGGGCTACGTGGAAAGCTCCAGTTGCCCCAGTGGGCTATTGCTGGTGGTTGTGGCAGGGTCTTGGGATCTGCCCCATCTCTAGGAGATGGCCGTGCCACCCTCAGTGTACTATTTTTCCCTCCCCAGGACCTCAAGCACTGCCTCCACCCGGGTGCTGACTTTGTACCATCGTGAAAGTGACCCCGAGGAAGAGGATGAGGAGGAGGAAGAGCTTCCCCCCAAGAGCGATACCTTTGTGAATGAAGCTTATGATGGGAAAGAGGTGAGCAGCATCCGGGGCAGGCCCCGGTAGGGACCTCCCTGCCACCCTGGGGTGCCCCAAGTCCCCCTTGATACGCAGATCCCTCCCCAGGCCCAGCACTGGCATGGTGGCCCACTCGTGAGGCAAGCTCTGCCTTCCTGCTGGGGGAGAGGGGCAAGACCTGGGGGTGCCTGGAGTCTGGCTGATACAGGGGCTGTCCTGCTCCTCCTGTGGCTGGAGCCCCTGTGCCAGGGTGGGGGGTGAGCCAGGGGAGGCTGGGCTCAGACTCATCCCTGACCCACCCGTCTGTGATCTCTGCAGGAGCTGCCAGCCCCGCCGAGGAAAGGGCCACCTCACCCTGACACTGTGCTTTCATAAAGGAACGTTGTGCAGCATTTCTGGTGCCCTCGTGGTTTGTGTCGGGGTTGGGGAGCAGAGGTTGGTTTGTTCTTCCCAGAGCTCTGAGCTCTAGGGAACTTGCAGCCCAGAGCAAAAACCTCTGGGAGGTTTTTTGGGAAGTCTTTAGCCCAAACACACTCTCTGAGCCACCTGAATCTGATCCCCCGCTGCAGACTGCATCCTGTGCCATCCTTTAACCCACACACATGTAAGGCACCTCGATCCACTGTCCCTCTGCAGCAAGGCTTAGCTTGCTGACCAGGGTGCTTCGGGCTCACCTGGGGTAGAAATCTGCCCAAACAGCTCTGCAAGGAAGCTGGCTTGGCTCTTGGCCTGTTACGCAGGGTACAGAGCAGGATTTTATAGTGCAGTTCTGACCTCCTGAGTGTCCTTTACAAACCAGTGAGACCAGTTTTGCTGCCTCTCCCGAAACTAATGAAGAAAGGGGAAATACATGCTATTTTTTTCCACTGTGATCTCTCCCCCCCACCCCCGCCACCCGCCAAAGTGGCTGTGCCCAAGGAATGAGAAACCTCTTCCAGAGCCGATTTTGACCATGGAGGAAAGGTCCTTGAGGAAGGTGCTATAAAAGCTACCTGTTCCCTTTTGCAGACCTTTCCTCCCTGCTTCAGGCTAAGTATGGGTGGGAGCTGGGTTAGCTGTGCCTGCTGGCTCTCAGCCCAGCCTGCCTGGCAGCAAGCCCATAACCATCCCACAGCACAGACCCGTTCCTCTTCATTTATTTTGCTGTTTGCACAGCCCTGAGTTGAGCAGAGACATGTGGGAGGCGCTTCCCTCCCCGATTCCCAGCCCTGAAGGCTACATGGTGCTAACCTGTACTTTGCTCGTGAGGGAACACGGGAGCTGCCTTTGCCCAAGCTGCTGCATGGTGCAGGAGGATGAGCCAAAAGCTGCAAGGAGGGGCTGGAGCCAGGGCTGGTCCTCAACCCGGCATGGCTTTGGCACAGTTGTGGGAAGTGGAGCACGGCAGGCTTTTGAGGAGGTTGCAGAGATTCGAGCCAGGTCCTTGGTCTTGTTTCCAGCCTGCTCTGAGGTGCCCCTAGAGAAGGGCATGGCTTGGAGGGGCAGGCACCAGCACGGCAGGCTGGCCGGTGCCCACTGCTGTCCCTGTGCTGGGGTTACAAGTCGGAGTCGCAAGGCAGGGTGCTCCTCCAGTGCCGTCCGTCTCGCTCGTCCTCCAGCACGTCCCAGGGATTGCGGTAAGCCCCAGTGGTGGAGCACGGCCCAGCCTCCAGCACAGGGCTGGGGGTCAGTTTGGGGGCCCTGCGTTCCTTGCAGCAGTGGTGGAAGCTGAGGGCGAGGGCCAGCCCCCCCGAGACCTCCAGGCAGCTTCCCAAGTAGCTCAGCACCAGGCTGTAGCCTACAGCCAGCGTGCTGCCGGCCGGCGCGGGCAGTGCCCACAGCTCATGGGTGTACCAGGAGGCAGGCACAAGGCTCAGCACCCCGGAGAGGAGCAGCACAAGCCCTGCCACGCCAGCCACCAGGTGCCGCGGCTCCTTCCGCCAGCAGCGCACCCCCAGGGCAGCCACCCCCAAACCCAGGAGGGTGAGCACCAGCGAGGTGGGCATCAGCCCCTGGGCCACCCGCACGGGCACCCGCTCGAAGTAGCCCAGCTCATCAGCCTGCCCGCAGTGGCGGTCGTGGCTGCTCTGCCGCTCGCTGCACAGGTCCCAGATGCCCTGCTCCAAGACGAAGTCCACGGGCTGGTCGGGTACGAGGCTCACCTGCCTCCAGTTGGGTGCCAGCGTGCCCGTGAGCGTCAGCAGAAGCCCGCAGGGGCACAGCACCAGCCCCACGATCATCGCCGCCGGCGTCCGCATGCTGGGGAGGGTGGGTGAAGCAAGCTCCGGTGCGCTCCCCCTCGCCAGAGCCCCAGAGGTCCGTGGGGGAGCCGGGGGGGGGGTGTCGCCGCTGCTGCCCGGCTGATGAGCGGCCACCGGGCGCTGCGGGGCTGTCCCGCCGTGGGGCAGGAGTCCCCGAGCCGCCCCCCGCCCCCCCCGAGCTCGGAGCCGGTGCGGGGCCCCCGTCCCGGCTGTGTCCGGGGCTGCGGGGAGGTGCCGGCGGCAGGAGGAAGGGCGGGCAGGGAGGAGCCCGGCGCAGGCACGGCCGGCCCCCCGGCCCCGGGGGAGCCCATCACCCGAGCTCCGGCCTCCGCTCCCCGCCGCGCAAGGAGCGGGGCCGGGGGGGCCGGGGGCAGCCAGCCCCAGCCCCTTCCCCCCCCCCCCCCCCCGGCTGCAGCTGACCCTGGGGCGTCTCGGCGTCACCCCGGGGCGCTCGGTCCCCGCTCCTGCCTGCGGGGGAAGCACGGGAGCCTGTTACGGCTCCCTTCACTAAACCGGCCGTGAGCTTATTTTACTATCATCAACTGAATTAATTTATGAAAGTCGTTAATTGAGATGCAATGCTGGTGAGGACCCTGTGGTCCTGCCCGGGCCCGGGAGACCTTCTCAGACTCTGGCCTTCATCTTGCTCTTCATCCCAGCAAGCGTCTCCCTCCCTGTCCTTCAGGGACGGCTCCTAAGCTTGGCCTGGCTCTGCCCTTCCCAGGCCGCGCTCAGCGGCCCCCCCGCAGGCGCGGCAGCCTGGCTCCCCGCGGGAAAAGTCCCTGGGTTGAACACTGAGACAGGTCGGGGAAGGCATCACATTTGACGAATCCCTGCGTGGGGCTCTTGAGCCCCCTAAAGCACCGGTCGTGGGGCTTTTCCAGGTTTCCCCGAATTTCTGCCGCTCACGCCGAGCCCAAAAGAGGGCAGCATCCTCTGTGGATTAATTTAGGATGAGCAACCCCAGCTCCTCTGGAGGGCTGGATGTCTGTGTGCCCCACAGCATCTTTGCACAGCTGGTTTGGTGGCCTTGGCCAGCTGGAGGGCGAGGGGGGTGCTGTCTGTGCTGGACCACCTGCTCCCTGGCTCCCTTGCCCACTCCTCCGTCCTACAGCTATTCCCGGAGTGCCCCCAACGCCCTTCTGCTCTGTGGGTGCCAGATCATTTTGGAGATGGATTGCAGCACTGTTGATCACTGGGTCTCAGCCCAGCTGGAAGGCAGGGCTGGGCTGGAATCAGCCAGAGGCTCACGTCCCCTGCTGCATCTGCAGAGCAGCAATGGTGACAGCCAGCTGTGCGTAGCTCCCGACCTAGGACACCTGGCTTTATTGTACATAGCTAGTAGTTTGCTAAAATTTGTCTCTCCTCAGCTGAGAAACTCAGCTAGGGTTGCTGTTTCTCTTTCTGTCCCATCAACTTTTTAAACTTTTATCCTACTCCAGGTGCTGACTCTGTGCCAAGCCACCCATTACTGTCCTAGGAGCTGTGGGTCCAACCCACACACCAAACACTGCCTGCCTGATGTGTTGCCCAAGGCTGCCTTCTGCCACGGGACCCCCACTCCTGATGGAAGCAGGCGCTAAAAGAGCCTGAAATCTTCTAGTCCTGACTCTCACAGGAGGCTGCATTTTCCTTTCCATTTGGATGCAAGGTAGTGGTTGGCTGTGAGAAGACGCAGTCCTCTTGTGGGAGAGGGAGGCAGAGGGAAAGGGCTGGTAGGGAGCTGCGTGGCATGGTGAGCCTGGGTGCCGTGGGTGAGGGCCTGCCAGTGCCATTTGGCTCCTCCCGAGCTCAGAAGGATTTTACCAACATGACAAAACACAGCTTGGTGGCGATGCTGGCGCCGATGCTGGTGGTGTGTCTGGTGAGGGCTTTGCTCCCCATCCCAGATGTGCGGGTGGGGCGTGCACCAGCCCTCCTGGAAAGGGAGAAATTCCCAGATTTGCCCATGTTTTTCCCAGGCAAGCCAGCAGATCTAGAGGCCTGCTGCTCAGGATGCAAGGGGTGCCACAGGTACCCCTACCCTGGGCTTGGCAGTGCCTGCCCTAGGATGCGTCTGCCCACAGCACCTTCCTTCTCCTCTCCCCTGCTCCCCCAGTGATGCTCTGCCCCTCTTGCCCTCGCTCCCACAGGCTTGGCTTTTGGAGGCAGCCACTGCTTGGATCTGCAGCATCAAGTAGAAGCTGGGTGCTGGGAGCGTTGCAATTAAGCACCAGGGCCAGGTTTAACAACCTGGGCCTTTCTGGTTTAGTAATAATGCCCAGCAGGATTCATCTGCCCTTTGGGCTGGTGCCCAGGCCCCTGACTGCAGGGCAACAATAAGCAGATTAGGTGATGTGGCCCTGATGCTGGATGACCGGCCCTGAGTAGGCTCAGGGAAGGAAATGGGATTAACAGAGCTGTTTTCTGATGCCACAGAGTTATAGATTGTTCATTTCTTCCCTTTTACTTTCTAATGAGCTGGTATGAAAAGCAATTCAAAGCAGAGCCTGGCCCTTTCCAAGCTCTGGGGAAGCATTTAAAGCCATCTGGTCTCAGAGATAAAATGGTCTGGCTGAAACTGCCTTCCTTCCCACATTTCCCTAGCTGCTGGGTGGAGAGAGCCACCTTACTTGGTGTTTCCTAATTCTCCAAGGCTGTGACTTAGTTTTTTCCTAACATGGCAAAATCACCTCTTTAAGAATGTGATGGAAACTTCATTCAGGCCTGGTTGAGTTGGCTTGCATTTTTTTTTTGCTGTGTTTTTTTGTTGTTGTTTAACCCCCCTTTGTAAATTGGAGGAGCAGCAGAAGGCCTTGAGCTAACTGGAACTGGAAAAGATCCAGGGCAGGATGGTCAGAGCTTGAGATTGATTCCATGAGGGAGAAGGGGGAATAAAAAAAAATTCCATGATGGGTTATTGAGTGTCAGACTGCTGCTCCCTCAGCCACCCTGCATCACTGAAGGCTGGCAATGCATTCAGGGCATTATTGCTGTGCTCAGCCCGTTCCCTGCCTCCCTAGGTGTCTGCTTCCAGCCACTGGTGATGATGGGACAAGTATTAGTGTCTCTTGGGTGACAGTGGCTCAGCGTGGACAGGACTAGTGGCATTTGGGTTACAGCATTATCACACCAACTGAGCAGAATTGGGTGTAATAGCTGGGCCCTGCCTGATGCCAGAAATGGCCACAGAATGGGGAACACATGTACACAACAGTCTCCAAAGCTTCCTCTGTGATCCTTAGTCTGATCCACACACCTGGGTCCAGCTAAACTTTCAAATAGTGGCTCGGGAGCGGAGAAGGTCTTCCCTGCATGAAGGCAGCTCTGCCCATATGCTGTCTGCAGAGCTCATGACAGGGAGACGGGAGGGGCACGCATTTGTGAGGGGGTTGCTCTGACCCCCTTCTCCTCGCCGCTGCGGGGCTTGTCCTCAGCAGCAGCAGGATCTCTCAGCGTCCTGTCTGCCGTGTGGGCAAGAGTCAGGGCCAGGGCCGTTTACCTGGAGCCTGCAGCTGGTAATTCCTGTTTACATCCCACTGACCCTGGGGCTTCGTCTGTGTCGCGTATGGCAAGATCTCCCCCCATACCACCATGCTGCCTGCTTGTCACACAAGTTTTCCTGTACCCGGCAGCTTCTCGGGTTCAAAGTGGCCCCGGGCCCATGCTGGACACGGAGCCAGGTGACAGTCAGGCCCGCAGACATGGCAAATGGCAGCGCATGTGCTGTGCCTCCCCAGGCTGCCCTAGGTCTGGCAGGTGCCCAGCAGGCCCAGCGCTTCACCCTGGCTGTGTATCCTTCACCCTCTCCCTCACTTTAGGAGAATTTGCTTTGCAGAGCCTGGCAGCCCCCTGTGTCTTGCCTTCTGTAGGAAACAAGGACTGGCTGGGAACGGCACCTGGGGGCACTTCGGGGGGGTGTAATTTCTCTAGCCCCTTGGACAGGCCCACTAGCCACCTGTGTTTGCCTCTGTTGAAACCCTGAATCGCTGCAGGCTAGGAGCAAATCAGATGGCTTCAACAGCCCATGTGTTTGTTTTTTTTTTTTAGCATTAGACCTGGTTGTCTAAGCCTCTCCTCAGACTCCATCCCACAGGGAAGTGACATTTAGGCAGGTGTCCAGGCTGAAGGACTTGGTTCTGACCATTCCATTTTGCTGCTTTTTCTTCCAGAATTTGGAGTGGGGGTGTTTCTAAGGGTGCAAGATGTGGGTTCCCCATTGACAATTCCTTGCTTTCAAGCCACGGCCCAGGCAGCAAAGCAAGTGCAGCCAGGACACGCTCTGCATTGTGCAAACAGCTGCAGTTGCTATGGGCTACTCTCTCAGCCCAGCGCCCCGCTTCCTCCCTGGACACACACACTACTGTCTTTGTGCCCGCCGGGAGGCCAAGGATGAGCTCCCAGGCCAGTCAGGGTCTGCTGTCCTCCTTGCCAGCTGAATGTGGAACAGACATCTGTGTGTCATCCCCAGGGCGCAGGCAGGAGTGGGCGGCACCCAGCATGTAGCTCCATGCCCCAGCTCTCCAGCTTTCGGGCCATGACTTCTGCTAGCAGATTTATTAGCCTTCCAGTTGCCCATTGAGCTGCCACCCTCCGGACTGGCCATGGTGGTGACAGCAGCCCTGAGGATGCACACATCGGAGACCAGGGGATGTGTTGGGTGTGCAAGAGCTTGCAAGCCCCATGCTGGCAGGTCCTGCTCCAGGGCTGTGACCCAGCAGTGACTTATCATACTCAGGCCTGTGGCCCATAGGAGTCTTGGTTGTTCCCCAAAACTCAGCATGAGGGAGCTGCGTACACCCGTGCAATATGGGATCAGCATGCTGTAACACCTGCAGGGAGCAGTAAATCCATCAGTGTGCGCTGAGGTTGTTGCCGCTTAGTTTCTGCAGCCCAGCTGTGACTGAACACTATTCAGACCAGATCCTGAGAAAGAGTTGTTGAAAGCCTTATTAGATGCCCCCCAGGTATTCACTCATCCGTTAAACTCCTTCACTTCCAAACTGCTGCACTTGGACTTGCCAGATTGCCCAGTGCCACTTCTGAGTCTTTGCTTTCAGTTCAGAGAATTATATAAAAAAGCATTTTTGCAGCTAGGTCTATTTTTGTCTGACTCAATCCTGAAATGGTTGAGAGTGGTTTGGACATGAAGCTCTCATGCTGGGTTCTGGAGGTGCAGCCCTTTTCAGACAGGGAGAAGAGGGCAGTTAAAGCTGTGTCTGGCCATGGAAATTGCATGTTTGTCCAGT